AAAATTTTAGCATAATACTGATTTTGGTATAAAAAGCACTTTCAGCCAGTAAAAAAAAGTTATTGCAATAGAAGACCACTCTGAAGAATTTGACTTGCCTGATAAAATAGATGACCAGGTCGTCTTCTAAGCTAATCTTGACATCAATTAAAGACGAATGGACAAATGAAGAATCAAATCACTGATGTCTGCATCAACTGACCGTATTTACACACGCTTTTCAAAACTGTAGTTCTTATTTCGGTAGCCTTTTCGTGTTCGATTTTGTTGCACCTATGTACGTGATGATGTGACCACTACGATCTTTATTGATAATACTTGATAAAATAAGCTTCCTTCAACCAAGAGAAGAATTCAAAAATGTTCACTTATTTTATGTCAATTAATAGATTCACGGGTAAACAAATCAGTGATCCTTCTTCAATTTAGACACATATTCATTGAGAATGAGATATTTTCTCTCCTGCAAACATCATACACAACTGTCGACCATTTAATTCGAGTAATGCAGCAATTTCCATTGCAGTGAATGAGACGAATAAAAAGATAAAAGATACTGGAAGAGTTTTGAATCAATGAACAAGTTCTCGAATACGTAACGGCGATCTTCACATAATGGCGATACTTACACAAAGAGTTATGTTGTGAAGCAGTTCTGTACGAATCGGCTTTGAGATATCTACAGGTCATTTTAAAGCAGTCTTGGCGTTACCTAGAGTACAATGTCACGCCTAAGTGATTAAAACGGATGAGTCTCTTACACACTGGTGTTTACCTTTCTTGTGTATAGAGGTACTTTATTGCGCGGTTCTTGTTCAAAGCAGCGGTGTTCACAAGCACAATCCATCTAATTCTTTCCGGTTTTGTCCATTTTTAAAAACGTTTCTGCTAATACTGACTTTTATCAGAAATAGAAGATCATATGATCTTCTTCATATCGTCTTCTATTTGGCTTTCATGTCATAGAATCGGCAGAAGTCCTCTATTTCTGGATGGTCTTCTATAATGGGGGAAGAGGAGGAGGAGCGTAGCGTAAAATTGCATAAAGTTCGAGAAAATAATGATGTTACTAACTATCAAACAAGCGTCTTACTATTTCGATTATATCATGGAAACTGTCACTGCAACCCATAAAAACAGAAATGATACATTTCAGTCCACATCCACGTAAAAAGTATAAATATCCAATTTTCGTAGTGGTGGGACCAACAATAGTCCGTCCACAGCCATCTGCACGATTTTTAGGCGTGATTTTTGATCCAACTCTCTCATGGAAGCATCATATAAAACACATTAAAGAGAAAACGCGATCAAGATTTAGTTTACTACGATTTCTATCAAAATTATCACCAGAAAGTATTCCTACAATCATGATTAACCTATTTAAATCCTTAGTTAGGCCAATATTGACATACGGCGCATCAGCATTGTTAAAAGCAGAAAATAAAATCTGGAAACATTTGCAATTACAGCAAAATAAAGGAATTAAAGCAGCACTAGGAGTTCCAAGCTACACATCAACAACATATATCATCTAGAAAGTAAACTTCCAAAGTTAAAAGACTAATATAAACTACTAACTAATCGAGCACTTCAACGCGCACAGGAGCATCAAGACGATATAACAATCGGAAACGTACAAGAGCTTTTAAACTAAATTGTAAATAGATTTTTAAACTCTATTAATTGAATTTGAATTTCTTTTCTGTTTGCATTTTTTCACTAACAAAAGACCTTGGCCATGTGTAAATACTGTATATATTTTTTTCTTCAGGTTTTTTAAATAAACTGTTGTCATCTCATTTCGATTATTTCAAAAGTGTTTGTTAACAGTACGCATAGTTTATTTCTAAATAATCCTCCAGCGCCAAGAGAAACAACAATAACGAGAGACCTACAATTAAGGCATACTATTATGATGTTGCAATGCGTACAGTACTTGGTATAATTGATAATTTTGTTTGTCTTATAGTGAGTTCATTTATATCTAAGGACGAAGACAGTATTGTTGAATAAAATTTCAATGTCAACAGGCTTTAAATGAATAAAACTATGTTGATTACATGTATTTGAATAAATATCATCTTGGGCTTTCTCTCTTTGCTACGATTAATAATGTTTACTACTACTGATCCGTTGTTATAGATGTGGATCACCTATATATTGATTTGTACTATATTCTGCTCTTCTCATCAATTCTAATCTAAATAAGTTCGTATTTCTTTTTTTTTTCAGCATAAATGGGCAATCGGTTGACGCTAATTATGGAGTATACGTCTGTCAGAATTATAGTAGATGCACAGTCTACAATAAAAATAGATGTTCCATATGTTTTCGTTCTTCCTCTCCCTTTATAATTTCATCCCTTGATTTATAAAGTAAAAAAGAATGAAAGGAAGAAGAGAATAATCTTCACGTCAAAAAAGATTCAACTTTTTTCTCATATAAGTACAATAGTATTTTTCTACTCAAAAGAAAGAAGAAAAAAAAACAAATCAGAAATAAGAATGGCAGCTAGCCATTTTTTTTGAGCGGACAAGGACTCATGTGTAATATTTAAGTTCTTCCTTCTGCGTTTTTTCACGTGTACTATACGCTTTTTTTCTCTACTGCAAGAATATAGACTGTTTACTAGGAAAAGATTCATTTTTTGCAACATTTTTCTTTCTTTCTTTGTGTTATGTTCTTTCCAGTAGAAAGAAAAAGTGGCAGTATATAAAAAGAAAAAAAAATTTATAGTCGATGTTTGTTCCTACGTTCACACTTGCAGGCATCGCATTACTATTCAATAAATAATTTTTATTATATTGAGGCCGAAGAGATAAAAAAAATATGGTTGAAACTTTTTTTCGATTTTTTTTGTCCTATTTTACTAAAAATCATCAAAAATGCTTAGTTAAAACAAACTCCACCTTCTGTCGCTCTCTCTGAATGAAAAAAGAGCACGTAGACATTATTTAGCAATTGTTTTTTTTCTATTTTATTTTTTTTTTTCTTTTGTTTTGTTCTCTTTCGTCTCGATGTTATACATTATCACCATCATCAACAATGCCATCAATTGTTCTTATTTTACTACTTTTCACATGTGATATCATACAAAATACAAAATGTGCGCTCAATTTGCAGGATTTGAATCTTGATGATATAACATCATTGTGGGACAAATTTCCATCGATAATATCCAAAATAAAAGAGGCGGGTATGTGTAAGATAAAATTTTTATTTAAGAAAATTAGATCATCATTAATTTGTCTGCTAACGTGTAAACTTGAAAAAGTACCGATATATTTGATTTTCCTTGTTAACATGAATGTAAAAAATTATATGATGTATCGAGAAAAAGCAGATTCTCTTTTTATTCTCTTATCTAAATTAATTTGTGCACGAACTATGGTTAAATATTGAGTGCCACTTTGATCGATGGTATATTTATCTTATATTTAAAAAAAGTAGGTTTTTAATCATAAAATCGTACTCTTAACACTCTAAAAAGTCAATATTTGATGATTAAGAATCCACTTCATTTTGACGAATTTTTTTTATGTCAACTAGATAAATACTCAACATTATGGAAAACAGAGTCGATATGCTTTAATCTATTTCTTGACGTTTTGTTTTGAATCGTAAATTTCGTTTTTTCCTCTTAAATTTATTATATTTACAACATTTAATTTTTCGATCGAAAAAAGGTTAAAAAATAGTGCAATATAAAAATCTACTTATAAAAAAAAAAACTTAAATATTTTATAAAGAAATTGACTATGGAATTAAATAGCGTATATAATGTCGTCATACACATTTTCTCATTAAAAACTTTTTCTAAATTTATACAATGGTTATGCAATCCAATAAAAAATACAGAACTGTGGGCATAGAAACCTTTCATCTCTCAATTTAAAAGAATTTCTTAAAAGGTTTCTTAATTTAGTGAAAGAATAAAGGTATATATATATATTATTTACTGAACCGATACGGTCAGTAAATATTTTTAAAAAACATTGATACACACCTAACGGTCACTTTTCATCCTCTAAATTTTCTTTGAACATATCTAAAAAAAATTTCACACACAAAAGTGATTAAGAGAATAGAGATAAATTTCTTTTATCGAATGACTTAGACTAATATTAGTTAATATCATCTGGTTTTTTGCTTCTGTGTTGAATGAGAATAAAATGATATATATGTTGTTCTTTGATTCAATTGTATACATCAAACATAAAGGTCATTTGTAGCTACGATATATAAAAAAAGAACACATTTTCGCCTCTCAACACGCACAATTAGTCATTGTGTATGTGTGTATTTCTTCTTGAAATAAAAAATGTTACGCTTTTCGAATAAGAAAAAGGAAATAAAAAGATCAGTGGGTGTATATATGTTCAATAGAAAGAGAGGCAAATAGTTCAGCATTTGTTTACATGACTTTTTTTCAATTATTAGACCTCTCAACGATTGAAACATTTAAAAAAAAATATAGCTTCTGACAAAATAACATTTATTTCTGTTCATGTATAATATAGCGAGGAACATCTTTAACTATACGTGTACCGTATTAATGAATGCTAAATTAACATGAGAAACAGATTAGTCTGTCATTTTTTTCAATCATGTTTAAAATACCCGTTTTGTTCATTAGAAAAGAGAGCTGTAGAAAAGTGTGTATCAACGATCAACTAGCATAAATAAAAGCAAAACGATGGAATCAAATATGATGTTGACTGATTTTTCTCTGGAATACACAACAATAAGATGCAGTATTTAGAAGACGATAAAGTTAACCCTATCGTTTTTTTAGAAAACTTAGATAAGTTCAGTGATTATAAACATATGGTTTTTCATATGTTTTAGTAAATCGTTTTCGATGTCCTAAAGGATGGCGCAGACTTGGTGGCTCCTGTTATTATCCGTCAAATTTGACGTCGATACCAAGCGACGCCAATTATACATGCAATTCATTACATTCCAATCATTCGACTCTGATGAAAATACGCACAACTATGGAATTACTTTATGCCGCACATGTACTGATAAAATACAATTTATCAGCATTACTCATCGATATCGATCCACACCTTATAAAAGGTAACAACAATAAGTATATTTAAATATATATATATCCCATAAGGGCTTTTCTGATAGACTAATTCATATTATATTGTGATAACAAAAATAAATCACGAACGTCAGAATGCTCTGCTACATTGGGATGCATAAACTATATCTTGATAATAATTTTATCTATGTGTCTCGATGACCGATGACTCATCAATATTGGCATTCAGATACATGTAATCCTCGATATACATTGCTGTAATATTTATAGTGCGATATATCTAAGCGTCCTAACGTTTACAATACGTTTCGGTCCTCGCAATGTGTCTAGATAAATCATCATATTGTACATTCTGTACAAAACATGATATTGCGATTTATTTCACTATTTGTTTTTTCAGCGGAATCGAAGAGCCAAATGTGATGTTGGTTAACTAGACTTAATAAGAAGAAAAAACTTAAAAATTTTTGAGCATTTTATTTAAAAGATGTTTGTCGCGATAGCATTTCCTATCGCGATACATACATTGTATGATGACTCATCTATACAATCAAATGCAAAAGTTGATGTTATAAACATTACAGATCTTGCCGCAAGTTCTGATATTATGATAACCATCGAAAATTTTTTATTGCTTTATCTTGCTACATTTTATTAATATGTTACTGCTATGGTTAACAACCAAATAGTTAAAATTTTATTGAAATTATCATGATGTGATATAGTCCAGCAGAGAGACGGCATCGTCAGTAATCAGTAGACATCAGAGTTGTAACCGGTCCGGCTGAACAGGCTGAAATTATTAACCGGCCGGTTCTTGCCAGTTTTTTATCAGCTAAAAAAATTACTTAAAATCGGCCGGTTTTTCATCGATTGAAAAACTTTTTTTAATCAGCCGGATCGGATCAGTCGGAAAATACTCAGTCGGATACAACTCTGACAGAAATATCCTGATTTGAATAGCTATTTGGCTATATTAGGATAAAAATTATCGTTGCATATTTGTATCTGAATCTCAACGCGGTAAACGGCGCTCATATTGCAACAATTCCGATTATCTCGATATAGTTAGATATGCACCAGTTAAAAACTGGTGTTGGGGCATAATTGCTATACATCAGTTGTCATGATTCGCTCAGAGCTGTGAAACGTCTCATTTTGTAGAAAAATGTTTGTTCTACAAAATGCATTTGTTAAAAGAATTCCGAAATTATTTCTAAAAAAACTTAGAGCATTCAGTATGCAGTAAATCACGGAAAAAAACTATTCGAACAGTTTTTTTCCATGATTTACTGCATTTTAGAATGCTCTAAGTTTTGTCAGAAATACATTTGGAAGCTTTTTAACGAATGCATTTTGTAAAACAGCAACATTTTTCTACAAAATGAGATGTTTCACAGCTCTGAGCGAATCATGATAACTGATGTATAGCAATTCTTCCGGATGCCTCAACACCAGTTTTTAACTGGTGCATATCTAGATATAGTTCAATAATATTTTACTAGTGTTTAGTGATGACTCACTGATATATTAAAATGCAACAAAAAAGGTCGCACTCTATCGAGATATCCGTTTCATCGCAATATCTTGCCTAAATATCGGAATAAAAATTCTGTGGCAAACGACGGTACAATGATATTGCGCTATAATGATGGGATAGGCGTAATTATATATATTTAAGTTTTATAATATAAATATATTATTATATATATATTATTGTATTTATTTAGTTTTTTTAAAAGTTTTTCGAGATATATCCTCTTTTTCTATACTTTTGTCCTCTTGGAATATATACGCTGCACTGGATGATCTCTTGTATTATTGTAACAACAAAAACTTCATTCTAGAAAAGAAAGTAACCGAGTTATTAATGAAAGATGAAGCAAAGTGGAAACTCATAAAAGACAAATTTCATGACGCCCGAGTTAAGTATTATCGTTTTAAAGAAAAAGTTTTAAATGAATTACGCGATGCTGGTTGGCGTATACAAAGACGAACAAAAAAAATAAAACACTCGTATGAAAGACGAAAAGAAGTTTCGAAACCACCTATTCATCAAGAACAGGAAGATGAGGCCTATTATATTGAACATGAGTATGACAATTATCATCAAACAAATTATGACACAACAATTACAGAAACATCTTCGATCTCTGTTTTCACAAACAAAGAAGACGAATATGAAGACGAAGATTTAGATTCAAATGATGAATTTGAAAAATTAGATAAACTTGAAGGTATTTGTGATCAATTGGTATGGAATGGATACAAAAATGATTCATCATCATATGTTTTAACAACATATTTAATGGCAGATAAAACAATTTGTTCACTGAGTGACAGCGAAGAGGATGTGTCTTATGATTACGTTTGTGAATATGGTACGATGAACGGTTTGTCCAGTTAACGGTCTCCTTTTTTCGCTCTTTTTCAAAGAACTATGGCAATAAAGTTAGAAAATAATCTAAAATTACAGCTAGATAGATTAAACATTTCTCTATAAAATGAAAAGTGTCTCGGCTCTGAACGTTGATTCGTTATGAAAATACAGCTGTTGCACANATCGATGTTGAGGCTTTCTAAAAAGTGTGTCTAAAAGAGTGAAGATGAGCTGGCAAAAATTGAACAAGACCAGTTTGTAGAAAGTTGTTTGCTCTACAAGATGTGATAGCTTGTCAAGTTCGAAACTATTCTAATTAATCTGTATTAATCAAAGAAAAACCGTGACGCCGTGACAGTTCTGACCGTTTTTTGTCACGGCGTCACGGTTTTTCTGATTTTTCTTTGATTAATACAGATTAATTAGAATAGTTTCAAACTTGACAAGCTATCACATCTTGTAGAACAAACAATTTTCTACAAACTGGTATACTTGTTCAATTTTTGCCAGCTCATCTTCACTCTTTTAGACACACTTTTTAGATAGCCTCAACATCGATTTTTGAGGCTATTTGTGCAACAGCTGTATTTTCATAACGAATCAACGTTCAGAGCCGAGACACTTTTCATTTTATAGAGAAATGTTTAATCTATCTAGCTGTAATTTTAGATTATTTTCTAACTTTATTGTCATAGTTCTTTGAAAAAGAGCGAAAAAAGGAGACCATTAGCTGGATAAGCCGTGAAATAAAACAAATTTCTTCACAAATTAAATTATGTCTCCTTTTTAGTGTTGGATTTTTGTTTTGCCAATGTTGTTTGTGGAAAGCATGGATATTGTGTGAATACACTAGCTGGTTTCAAATGTTCATGTTCATTTCTATATGGTGGTCTACTCTGTGCACGAAGTAGGTGATTGATCTATTTTAGTTTAAATGAATAGATAACAACAACTTATTGTTTTAGTTTCAAAGCAAGGAAAACAGATTATTATTGGGTTTATTATAATATTTGTCGTGTATGGCTTAACAACAAAACCTATGCGTTTGGTTTTGATAAAACTAGCAAGGATATTTTGCAAGTTGTGATATTTTATCCATTTTTTTGACGTTAAAACTCTACTACCATTTAATTTTTTAGGCGTTTTAAACAAACCATGCACGATCATAAAGAAAAACGGAAAGAAAAAAAAAAAAACACTGAAGACGATGATGATGAGAGAACAACAAGAACAATATTAGAGTACTTGCTTTAACTAAATAAAACGAGCTGATGCATATTTTTACTCTGTTCCTTTTAATTTAGAGATGATATAGATGATAATGTTGTGAACTATCGTCAACAAGCCATCGAACAACAGCAACAGCAAGAACAACAACAACGTGATATGAGCAAACAACGTCGTTCAACAATTGCTGAAGAAATTTTTGAGCTATTGTAAGTAAATACTCAAATATTTGATCGATATTCGGATACAGATGTTAATCTGTGACTACTTAGTTTTCTATCTCTTATGTTTAGTAGGATCATTATCAGATGTCTCATGTAATGAGTATATACATCTATTTGATCTAGCAGTTTACTGACTGAATAAAACCATTTTCTTCTTTTAAAATTAATTACCAAATCTCTCTCAAAAATCAAATTGATTTTCTTCATCTATATGCTAATAATAGTACACACATATGCACGAAGTGTTTTAATGTTTGTTCAAACATTTGCGGTTATGATCTTTTGTTAAGGGCGCACATAGATCAAATTAGTTCTCTGATTCGTTAAAAATGCACGAATTTAGGTATAATCTTATCTGACCATAGTAAAATTTGAGATAATTATTGAAGTTTATGAATTTGAGTATATTTTTCTCAAATGTTACTGTATACTCTAAAAAACAAAAGGTGTTCTTTAGTTTTTTAAAGAACTGAAAAATCAATGGAAATTTTGTTCTTCATTTGTCTCAAATAGAGAACTGAAATTCTGTTCTTTAGCTCTCAAAACGCTTAAAACTTGTACTTTAATTTTTGAAAAATTGATTTTTTTCATTCTTTGGAAACTGAAAAACAAATTTTGAGCTTCTTGAAAGCTGAAGAACAGAATTTCAGTTCTCTATTTGAGACAAATGAAGAACAAAGTTTCCATTGATTTTTCAGTTCTTTGAAAAACTAAAGAACACCGTTTTTCTTTTTAGAGTATATTTTAAAGTGATTGAAACAAACTTTTTTTTTATGTGAAATAAAAATTCTGAAAGAAGTTTATAACGTTTTGCTAACTAATGACTTCTACACATAATTTTTGTTCCAATTTTAGCGCTCCACAAAGGCCGCATCCACTTTTAAGTCCAGTCAAGAGAGATTTAGCTCGCTTGTTTATGGTCGGTGGTTTATTTTTATTTTTTTTATTACTTTTACTAGTTACCACGACTGTTACACATTTTACAAGTTTTCAATTTGATATTACTGATGAAAAAAAATTAGAAAATATTGTTAATGACACAGTTCGACTAGGTGAGAAAAAAATAAATTTTTTGGTATGATATTGTTATTACTCTTCACTAGATGTAGATATTTATCTCTTATGAACATGACATGAAAATAAGCTTTTACATTTTAGAACATTTTGAGAAGTTTAAAGAATTATTCATCATGTTCTTTTTGTATTCTCTATTTTAGTAACACGATGTGAAAAAATATCCGATTATAAAATGGGCAATTTAATCATGTTTCCAATTTCACTAGCTTTGATTGTCTTATTTTCTTGGTTTATTAAAAGTGATAAAAAATGGTTGAAACATTGTGATGGACGACCTGGTAATAAGTTTCTAACATACATTATAAAATTTTATAAGTTTTATTCTGTATTATATATTTTAGGTTTAATACCACCAATTGAGCCATTTCGAACAGCCAATCGTTTTACAACTGCTACCGTCTTTGGAATATTAGCATTTGAAGTATTAAAGATATTTGAAGAATTATTATTTAGTACAACTGAGCCATCAGAACAAGGTGTTTTATTAGAATTAATTCAGCGTATAGCTATTGTATTATTAGTTGGAATGCGTTATTATCCAATATTAGCATCGTTACAATTACGAAATTGTTTTTGCCGTTGTACAACATGGTTATATATTCTTCTAGATTTATCATATACAATTTATCGTGAAGGTTCATGTATGGGCTTTTTACCATTATCAAAACAATTTTCAGCTATTGAAGAGTCAAAATTACGTATTGAATTGGGTACATGGTTTATTATTTATGGTATAATTAAAAATACTCCACATTTTATTTGTTTATCTTATATTGCATCTGAATTAACTGTACGATTTTTATATGATTCATGTTATAAACAAGTAAAATCTAAGAAAAGTATCTGGGCATCACCCGTTATGGAATATGATGAATATCAATTTTCAAGATATTATGTTATGAAATTATTTCGACGTAATCCAAAATATTATCCGAACGATCAGACAAATTCTGTTCCTGGTACAACAGACATAACCAATGATGATGAAGAGTGGCGTTGGTATGAAAAACAAGAAAAATCAAGAGTAAAATTATTCTTGGATAAAATTTATCCATGGGATGATGATTTTCGTTTTACAACAATAGCTCTATGTACATACACAGTTGCAATTATATTCTTGTATTATTTGGCATGTACACTTGTATTTTTATATTTATCACGTACATTTGGTCATACAGCATTTTTAAGAAGTTATCTCGAACAAGTATTAAATGTAGAATTAAGTGGCTGGTCATTTAAACTTGAAGTTCTATCTAGCGCATTTTTAACAAGTTTACTCTATCTTTGGCAATTGTTTAATGGAATGCTAACGTATAAAAAACATAAAAAAGAGTTATTTCAAGGTAAGAGATTGTTAATTCTAATTTAAATAAATTTATTATTTTTAAATTTTATTTTAGGTATTTACCTGAATGTTCCAACATCAGCAGGAATGAAACCAAATTCTGTGGCAGCAAAATCTGTTCACTATAGCGGATTTTTAGTTGGCTATATGGCGTGGGGTTATATTATTTGTTTTCATTTAATATTTTTTGTATTGGGCATATTACGATTATTTCGTGCTCGAGTGCGATACATTGAATTATTGATGACCATTATTGTACCAGTATTGGTGATTTATTTAATGAAATTAGTTATGGTTTCATCTGCTGGAAAATGTTTATTTATTCAAGATCTGGGTGACAAATTAAATCTAAAAAATCGTAAAACATACGCAGTTTTTGTTTATTTCAATTTTTTTGCTGGTAAGTGCGGAAATATCACACTTTCTGTTAATCATTATAAACTGTTTAAATACAAGATATTTACTTATATTTTCAGTATTTGTTTTCACTGTTGTTGTAGTATTTGTCACTACATTGAACAGTTAGATGTTGTGAATAGCTATATCTATATAATCGATTTTGTCCTATTTAGATTGCTTTTTGGGAATCGCATCATGTATTATTCGATTAATTAAAGCGACGTGTCTAAATATTGCATATATGGCACGTTTAGATTGTAGTTTTCTTGGTCGGCCACTGGAAAAATATGGTAAGTTTTAGTTTTATAAGATCTTATATCTCTTATATTTATGTTTCCCGAGCTCGTTCCTCTCTAAGACATCAAAATAAATGCTTGTCTTTTTACCCAGATATCGGCTTTGCCGCTTATGTGTCATATTTACACATGGAAGTAACTCATACACATCCTGTCATGTTAGGTAAGTTCACCGATTCGACTAAAAAAATTTGGATTATTAACTTCAATTATTTTGTTATTAGCATTTTGTTATTCATTGTATGACGATGTTATAAAACGACGTAAAAAAGGTTACGATGACGAATGTTGTATAGGGCCAGGTGAATTTGACAGCGATAATGAAACGGATAAAACTGTTAATACTATAACAGAAAGTCAAAGAAATGACAGAACTAGAAAAAATAACGTTGATCATATTAATAATGATGACGATTTGTACACAGAAATAAAAAAATCATTAGAAAATGGTTTTAAATCAAATACGAAGGGACAACACCAACAAAGTCAAAAGCAAATAACAGCAGATTCAAAATCTCAAGATGAGAATGTCAATGAAAGACTTCCAGTGAAAAATAACGAATCAACAACATTTGAAACTATAGCACAAATTATGCCACACAAGCAACCAGCTTTACCAATTTATAAGGTATCATATGAATAGTGATGGACAAGTTCGACCACTTTTTAGTCAAAGTTCACCAAAAGATTTCTCGAGTTCAGACTTAAATTTGAGCTTGCTGATCCCTGGATACGAATATCGTCTACTTATACGTCAGAAATGTTTCATTTTAAGCGTCTCTTATTCATCCAAGATTCTCTGTTTTAATATTTGCACATATATATTTATTCTTTCCCTACCATTTTCTATTGACACTATTTTATGGCAAAATAGTTCTTATATACAATTCTCACCTTCTAATGTTCTCTTATTTTGTAGGATGATAATGATGACGATGATGATGATGATCAAGCAGATGATGGCGGGCCACCAACTCCTAAAGGTATTGAAAAACCAAAATCAACCCAAAAACATGTTAAGGATGTAGGGGACGAGGTGGAATTTGACGATGATGGTGGAATTGTGCCAAAATCGTATCCTACTATCGAAAAAGCGCTCGTTAAAAATGCAAAACGACCACGCTTACCAGAAATCACCACAAGTAACCAAACCAACGCCCCAAAAATACCTCAGCGGCAGGATAGACCAAAATTAAAAGTAAGCGAAGACTTTGAAGAAGATGAGGATGGTGGAATAGTTCCAAAAACGTATGACACCATTGCGAAAGCTATACCAAAAGAAAGGCCACGACTCAATCCAATGCAGCAATCGGCTAAAAAGCAGAACAAATCTGAAGTAGATGACAATGGAAGTTTAAAACCTGAAGTGAAAAAAGTTACAGAGCTAAAATCGCAAGACAAAGAACAAACTAAAGATGAGCAGGGTCGTAACACAACAACTAAAGTAACATCAAAACAAAAAGGCTCTCAAAAAAAGGCGGAAAAGCAAATAGTTGAAGATATCGAGGACGATGATGGGGGTATAGTAAGACCACCGCAAACCTATGATACGATCATTAAAGTTATTTCGAAGAAAAAACCCGTTTTGTCCAAAATTGAAAACTCGTCGATAAGCGACCATGACGAGAAAAATAGAGTGCACAATAGTAAAGGAAAAAGTTTAGACAAAAAAACGAAAAATAATAAGGTAAGACCAGTACAAAGTGAAGATGATCTACTGGAGGATGATGACGGAGGAATTCGCAAATCAAATAAATCTTATGACACCGTATTTAAACTAATTCCATCGACAAAACCAAAATTACCCGATAATTCTCGCAGATCAGATTCAAAAGTTAAAAAAAGAGGCGTAGGAGGCAGTGATAATAGTTCAATAAATAAACCAGAATTAAAGTTAGCCAGATCTTTATTAAGAAGTTCATCGAACGAGGAGGATGAGAGAATGAAAATATATGACAAGATTAAGCATTCGTATGATGATGGTAATAAAAACAATAATAACAACACTGCTACGACTACGACCAGTAATGATGATGAAGAAATAAAATACGATAACAGAAAACAATATCGTCCACCAACTTATGATCAAGTTCAAAATCATACTCAGATGCTCCGCACAATATCTTATCGTCAAGCGCAACAGTCACCACCGCCACCGTTACCATCCCGTCAACCGTTAATTGATAAAAACAATCAAAATAATCATCAACCTCACGTATCGTCGTCTAATCAGAGTAATAGCGATTCAGTACTACCCTCATCCAGGACGATATCCGACGGCGGTTCATTACAATCATCTCCAAGTACTTCAATACAAGAGATACAATCACAAAAACAACAACAATCAGCAAAGCAAGACATTGACGGTGACACAGAAGCGGATGTAAGGACCGATGATGATGAGGAAGATGCCGACGAAGATAGCCAGAGTTCATCACAACGAAGCGTATTAGAACCATTACCAAATATTACTACCGCTAATCCAACTTTAAGTAAAGTTTTTCCTCTTTTACCTCAAGAAAAAGTGCAAGAACAGGCTATCGTACTGAAGAGAAAGAGAGCTCGTTTTCGGTGGTATTTAGCTTATACTATACTTAATAATTATCACTTATTCGATTTACGTAAACAGATAGAAGGTACATATAAGTATTTTTGTTCTTTAAATATACTTTAAACTTCTCTCTTTTTTTAAGGACGTCTGGTAGCATTACGTTTGCATCGCAGTAATATTCAAATGGAACAGCAGCCAATCCAATCAGCAGAAATTTCCAAAAAAACTCAATCTCAACAACCATATTTATCGGTGCCATCTCGACAGTTCGAAGAAACACCTCACAGCCCAGCTGAAATATATATTCGGAATAAAGCAAATCAACTTATTGATGCAAGTCCGCCGCCACCTTTCTTTCCTGTATCACCATCAGTAATAGATCAAAATATTTTATTTAATAATGCTAACGGCGAACGACAATCGAAAATGGCCACTCATTCTCAGGTTAGTATTTACAGTCAAGGGTTCCCAATTGTTAGAATCCATCCACCAAGTGACGAAACAACCACTTCTACTACAAGACAAATTGATTCTGAGACAATAGGAGGAACAAATCGTCCTCCATTTGTTCGCCAAAAATCTGTGCCACCGCCGTCGACATCTTCAATAGTCTATACTGATCGTACACCCTTTTTGCCTGTAACGAATTCTACAGTATCAGACGAACAAACAGGAATTAGAACAATGACCACAAGTCCAACAACAACATTATTAACCACGTTAAGTCATCAACAACAAATGCAATCGTGGAAACAAAAGAAAATGGAAAAACTAAGGAAAAAACATCCACATTGTTATGTATACGGTGGACAGGAACCAATAGCAAACAATCCTTTAGCATCTGCAATACTTACGCCTTTTTTAGTACATTCTATTAAAAAAGCAACACCACAAGGTACAGCAATGGTTGGAAGACAGACACGTTCACCGTTTTATGGACATAATATTAATAATAATATTAATAATAATAGTAATAATAATAACAATAATGCTCAACAGGCACAAACACGTCGGGTGCATACAGCGCCAATATCAAATAGTAGAAGCAGTAATCAATTTGAAGTTGTTTCTGAAATCAAAGGCGACGATAATCAGCATCATTCGAAAAAGCATAAGCGGCACTCAAAAAAGAATACTGAACAGTCTCAACCTATTCCACCGCCAAGAATGGATTTGAAAACAGTAGAATCAAGCAAACCTTATGAGTCATTTGGTTTTACTGTTGTGGGTCATGATAGTCCAAATAGATCTAACTCAGCATCATTTCAACAATCTGATGTAAGACAAAAGCGAACAATAAATTCAGCCTTGTCTAATATCTCTGTTGGACAGAGTCAACATCCATCCTCATCAAATTCTGCAAAAAATCAAATCATTTACAATTCCTCATTAAGCACAAATCATGAATCTACTGCTGTTTAAATTTGTTCTATAACTTCTATTAAATTTTTCTGTTGTTATTATTATTGTTTATTAAGCAGCAAAATTTTTCTATTTTATTTTTTGTACAGATAGGTTTATCGTGTTTTACAATTTTACAATAAAATGCATCTCAAACTGTGATAGCCTTAAAAATAGTTGATTAAGAAATTTGCGATTATTTCAGCTAAAATAGTATGAAACTCAGATGCGCAAAGATTGTTTGGTTGTAAATTTGAATGTTAAAATCATGATCTCGAATCAATTCTGTTATCTTGCCAGTATGAAAATCTTTTATTACAGTGTTCGATATTTGTGTAGTTCAAAGAAAGTACATTAGAAAGAAAATTGTCATAACAAAAAGCATTTTTTTAAAAACATCAACAGCTGGTTTACGTTTATTTTTCCTGCTTTCCTTTAGGACTAATCATTAAAGTCATTATTTATTTTCCTTTAGCCTCGATTTGCCCCTGAATCGATTTCTCGATTCATCCTTCATATGCACGCATAGGCTAGATTAAATTAATTAATTATTTGTTGTTAAAAAGAAACAATCTACCAAAATTTATAAATGTTAGAAATTGTACAAGCTTAGTATGTATTATGTTCACAAGACACTATCATTTTTTGACTGGAGTTGTCTTTGCAACTCTACTACATTTAATGGCCAATTGAACATTATTTATTCTTCTATTTGTACATTCGTCAAATAATGCTTAATAAAAGTTTTCTTTTTCTTTCTTTAATTTCATACATCAGCTGACTAGCACACAACAAAAGATATGAAAATATATAGAGAGGAGTGATGGCTAAAGTAAACATATCATTCTAAATTTTCAGATAAGTTCTTCTAAGACCTTACTCATTATTGTATGATATTATGAATTTCTTTCAAGTTCATACAATTCCTATGGCTGAATCATACAAAATTATTCTAGAAGAAGATTCGTCGACTAAATTGTGGGAATGATTCCCCTTTTCGCGTTCAATGTTTAGAAAGGACGGGAAACGATTTCTGCTAGAAAATGGCCCAATATGATTTTGAGTGAAAATGACCAGGAATGCTTCCCTTTTAACTTCCCAATACTTCTATCTTTCAAAAAGCGCTCCTGATCTTCGTGAAAAAGTTATTTCTTACCAGTTCAATGAATGTCATTCACTTTGTTTCTCAAGTTTTTCGTACGATTTCAAAGACTTTGACCAAAGCTCATACACAGAAAGATAAAAAAAATTTCTACGCTTCCAAACGAGCGATTGACAAGCTTTTCAAACATATGCTCGCATAGAGTAATTATCAAAATACTCGACAGCTGTCATGATTTTCATCTATCTTAAGGCTTTAAACAAATATTTCTTCCATACATCTGCTCAGACCCAGAACGTTTTGTATATCGAAAGATAGAGAATTTTCTGGGCTTCAAAATGAACCATAATACTTTGTTTTAAAAGTTTGTTCTCATAGATTTATTGGCCAAACATTGCATAGATATCTCGATTTTTACTCATAGTGATATGTAAAAATAATCAGTTTCTTTCACAAATAGAAATTACGAAATTAGTTTGTATTTAGAAAAAATACAGAATTGAAAGTGCTATAAAATAAGCTATAGTACGTTGTTTCAAACATTAAATTTAATAGACTTATTGGCAAAATAACGAACGAATGCAGTCGGCTTAACGTGTGACAGGACAGTACCCGGTCATTTTGACCCAAAATCATATTGGGACATTTTCTAGCAAAAACCGTCTATATAGCTGCTATACCCGAACTGTCAAAAAAATATTTTCTTTTTTTCTTCTTCTAATTACGTGAACAAATCTCCGTTGTATACATCCGTTATTTCAAAAACTGTTGTTTATCTACATATAGAATATTTTATTGATCGATAATTATAATGGTTTCCTACTGTTATGCGAACATTTTTCGAAGTTCATCACGAAACATACTTGAAGTACAAAAACAGACAAAAAATGGTGTGGAACACGAAACAAATTCTAGAAAATCAATAAATACTTCGGTCATTTGTAATTTAGGACGTTTGGGCTCACTTTGATATACATCCGATTTTAAATCTCGCTTTAGTTTGTCGTGTCGTTCAAATACTTTAAATATTTTATAAGGAGCTGTGCTCAAGATAAATACCATTGAAATGCTGACAAGTGTTAATGTTAAATTCAGACGTTGTTGACGGGATTTTGCCAAAAGTCTAATTCCATTGGGGGTGAGTGGTGGTGGTGATGTTGACAGATGTAAAGCTCGCGTTATCGAAAAACATCGTTGTCGACTTCGTTGTACTTCTCTTAAAATTTTATAATTTAGAAATAAAATTAAAAAAAATGGTAGAAATGTGACGAAAATAATATCGATGATTGATTGTCCGTATGCCATATAGACTTGAAAGAATTGTGAATCGAGATGAGGAGAACATCGTACATTAGCAAGCGTTTGATTATATTTCATTCTTTTCATTGTACTATTCAGTGCTTGTCCACGATAATAACCGTAAAGTATTGTTAAAAAAGATGAATTTTTTATTAAAATGGCTGCTAATGCAAACAGAAGTAATCGGTATACGTAATTATGTCGACGCCAATGGCTATAGTATGATCGATGGACACAACATATGAAACGATCGGTGGTCAAAGCTACTTGCAAATAGGCAGTTAAGTCAAATAAACTATAACGAACAAATTTATATAGACGACATGTAAATGGACTAAAGTAAATTCGAAGAGGATGACGGGTTTTTACTGTATAGGTTTTCAATAATAAATCGATAGTAAATAAGTAGAGTACGAGTAAATCATTGATACATAACAAACGAAGAAGTGTTGAAGATGTTCGGGTTAATCGATGCTGAAATTTTTGACGAAAAAAAACAAAGAAACAAAGAATATTACCAATTGTTGCTAATGGTAGTATAATTACTGGAAATATTTTATTTGCCCATAATATAAAACGTTCATATGACATATTTTCATTATCAATACTGAATGAATGTATGTGTGTTTTCAGTATTTAAAACATACTGTGTAGCATTAATCAAGACTTTGTGAATGAATGATGATGTTGTTCAGACGACATGAAAAAAAAATTATATATGTTTTTGTTATTGTCATTTCTATGTCTATTTATGAGAAAGAAGAAGAAGAAAAATAAATATAGTGATAAGAATTAACAAGAATAATTAAACTTCTATAGCAAATATACATTAAGAAGAAAATGGACTTAAATTCCGTTTTTATTTATTCACAAACACGCATTAAATAGAGGATGAATGATAATACACCACAATAATAGTATAGAGTACGGACATTATTGTGTCTCTGTTTCTGCAAATTTTCTGTTATTACAATAGGATTATTTCAAATAGATGTGAATGAGTGAGTAAGGTGATTCTTCATATGCAAATATAGATCCTATATTTCAACTTGTTACGATCTTTTTATTCCATCTTCTGTTGAACATATAGAATACGCCATTCATACTCATGTCTATTTAACGTAGCCTTATCGACACAATACAGGTCACTTTCGGAAACAACATGAATGACCGTATATCTAGCTATGTTTATATTAATGATTTGTCTGATAAGATACCACATGAATACAATTGTCGAGAGATCTAAACTAGACTGCCGATTGGCACTCATCGTAATGCCAGTTAGATTATATTTAGAGTTTTTTAGCAGTTTTTCTCGTAGTCATGTAAGAAAAATATAGACAAAAAGTGTTTTTTTTTATTATCGAAAAACGTGTCCATATAGGCACAGACATATGCACTGCATGCGTATCGGATTTAGGATGGTAGTATATATATATATCTGCCTATATATATTTTGATATAGACAGGGAGTGTAGATGGAATCAATCCCTTGAAGCTTTCAACATAAAATATGACATTTAATCTATCAAAACATTTCATTAATTCTTGTAGACAGTGAAATAAAAAGTCATTATGACCTAGGATTTCTAGCTTTTATAGTATTCTTAGAATTGTTCTTGTTCTACCTACAGCAAAAGCAGAAAACAGTTATTTAAATTGTCATAAAATCTAATAAAGAGAACCGTAGAATATAGAATTACTAACTTTCATCCTTGACAACAGCATAATTTTCCCCCTAGAATATGAAGTCTTGTTAAATATTAAAGGTTTTATTGATATTTTCATACTTTCATAAACTAGCTTCTGTTTAAATACTTTTTTTGTAGTGAGGAATAGATATGGAAAGAAATATGACGACTGTTTCAACTTTATTGACATTGAATGGTATCACCTGTCCAACATATCGTATACTTGTCAGCGCATAAAACCGTCATCAGATTTACTACATATGAATTTTACAACATTTCATGTATGCACATTATGCTGACACTATATGGTGTTTGAAACTTACTATATCATGATTTATTATATAAGAGCCATCTTCTAATCTTATAGTGAATCTGTAATATTTTTTGTATATAAACTTTTTTTATTTCGATGAAAAAATAGAGGAATAAATCAAAACAATTGTCACATTACATCGTTGAATGAACGTTACTTGTTTTGATAGTTCATTTAAGTTATTTTATTCAATAAAAATCTTTTAAGTATTAGATATTTACCTCTAAGGTAAATTATTATATACTTGCTATTGATTTCTTATGAAATGTTACACTTCTGCAGATGCAAATATCACATAAACATGTAATAGATATATAAAAGTTAGATGCTTGTTCCTTCTTAATAATTAATAGAGACCTTTTTTTCTCAGTATCCTCTTGAAGTCTTAGGGTAGACTCTAATTTATTTCTCATCTTTTATATGATGAGCTTATGATAAAGCGTGAATAGTCATAGATAAACATCGATACAATAGGCTCACATCAGATTCAATGTAGAAATTCTACTCTGTTTGTAAAAAAAATCATGTTAACTGTCATTGCCGTGGTATGAGTCAATATCAGTGAATTAAGTTAGATGAATAAAGCGGAACAATGACTATGGAATTTGGAAAAACTATTGTTCATCAAAATGTTCAGTAGACTTAACCAATTTTTTGGCTATGATCCAACGTTTCAGGTGTGGCGTGTATGAATATACATAACGTATGCATATTAGGGAGGGAAGATTCATTCTACAGATCATATATGGATAGACACTTAAGTATTGATCGACATGAAAAATAAGTTGACATTATTCTTATACACATGTACAAAAAAATGTAGTATATTGAAAGAGTAATATGATGTAAAATTTCATATTAACTTTTTTGTGTTCAAACATTGATTGAAATGTACAACACATATTTATACCGAAACAAATCTTTCTTTTTTTTGCTCATTGAAAGTAGATGTGAAAAAAGAAATAAAGTCAAAAAAGTACTAGTAGAAAATGGCTCTTGTCAAAATTGTATCATCAATAATATTATAAAATACTTATTATTAAACAAATGCCCAATGTATTTTCAAATGATTACAACCCTAGACAAAATGTGAAGAAGAATAAATTCTAAATTTTTAGTTAGCACATAATGAACTAGTTTAATCGAACAGCGACAGGGATTTAAACATTTGAACTTCGAAATCATGGACGGCGTCATTGTTCGATATATATTCTATAGACTGATGTTTTTCTATTGTCTGTATCGACAGCCTTCTTAGTGCTAGAATACACTACTACGTAGACAGACAGTAGACATACACAATCTAAATATCCTAATAAAAATCCTATTGATAATAACTGTAGTGACTATAGTCAAGGTGTTCCATTCATTCGTCCATTCATTCTTCTCTATGGTTGCTTAATAATAAAAATGATGACAAGGAAATTTGTCTGCGATATTAAAATTATATGATGTAACCTTGCCGGATCTGAATAAAAATTATTTTTTTTCTTATTTGTTCTATTACAAAAATATCCAAATCGATTTTTGTGTTTTCACGAATACGTATTGTACAATTTATTTTCATCTTATCTTTTTCTAGTTAACGCACTGTTGATACAATCCAACACTTTTAAAGAGAAGAAAAATAAAGAAAGAAACAGCAAAAAAAGGTGTACGTATAACCTTCATGGTAGCTTTCGTTGCGTATCGTACATACGCACCTTTTTTGCGGTTTGGATATATGTCAAAAACTTGACTTGTGGAAAAAGCAGACTCGGGTATGGAAACAGTTTAAAAAAAATAAAAAAAATGTCTAAAAAATATTCATCGTGGGCATCGGGAGGTGCTGTTAAACAAGATGATTTGGAAATGAAATTAAGTTCCGTTCAAGGAAAATCTGGACAAAACACTGGTGAGGAATGAGAATTCAAGCTATATTTGAAGAAGAGAAATCAAAATAATTTTAGGAGAAACTCCTGAACGAGTTCAAGCCATTGTACCACATACGTATATAAATGTCGACGCACCACCTGTAAGTTACCTACTCTCGTTTTTTACTCCATGTTCAATAATTTATCGCCTTTATTATAGTTGTTTCTTTCTATTTTTTGTATACTAATCGAATGAATACTCTTTAGTTAAAACTCAAAAGAAGTTCTTCATTTTCAACACCTACTACAAACAATTCTTCTCAAGCTGCTTTTGTTCTAGCACGAACAAGTACATATTCTGTAAGCTCTTTTTGTTTCTTCTTTCTTTTACTTAAATTTTCCTGTACAAGTGATTCTGCATCTTACTCATCCCTACATTTTTTTTGAAGAACCTACCAAATCAATCAATAACAGCTGATACATCAGAACGAACTAAGATATGGCCAACTGAAAAATCACAAGATTCTGTTGGCACTAATTCGTCGACTAAACGGACGGTTATGGCATTAAAACACCGTCACAGTAAACATCATCATAGACACCACCATCATGCACATCATCGTGGAAAACATTCAGATCGTAGATATAGAAAATCGACTTCTCAACCACCACAAACAAATTTTCTTCAACAAAATGACCAAAAACAGCCGATGGTCGTTTATCGAGAAACACCAGTTGATGGAAACAATAACACGTCAACACAACATTACACCAGCGAAACAGACGATCAACAGTCACCACTCGTTGTGTATCGAGATGTCGCATCAGACGGAACATCACAGCTATACTATGATGCTCAAGAAACGGTAAGAAAATGAAAGACGATTTATTTCATATTTCTTTTTCAGAGTATAATCGTTGTGTTTGAAACAACAGGCTGTACCAAACACCACTATTCAACAAGATCAAGAGTATGTGAAAGACGACATGAACAGATTACCAGTATTAAATTCGAAATTAAATTCCATTAAAAAACAATATACTCTCCATCGTTCACCCTCTATTAATGAACGTCAAGTAGGCAATTATCCATTTCTCACTCCACAACAAACAATCATTCAAACGACAAGTGGTGTACCTCAAGAATACGAGAGCATATACTATGAAGAAGATTACGATCAGCCGTTACATTGTATTCGAGAATCATACGTATGAAAGAATGAACAAATAGAGCTGCTATTCATGTTGTTTTGCCTAGCATCGGCGTGGTTTTAATGCATATGACCATTTTCTAATATATATTTAACAACGAAAAAATAGATCGCTGAAGTTTTTAATCTGAAAGCTGCTATTGCATTTAATAACGAGGAAAAACCGCTTTCATTCGAGTTGTTCTACTATTCTGAGATCTCTTGGGAAATCTCTTGGGATTAGCGAACATTTTAGCAACGGCGTAGTCGAGAAACACGATCAGTGGAAGGGCTACGCAAGCTGCCAGTTTAACGACAGTATACAAGAAAATGTTCAAAATAGAATTAAAATAAATGAGGATTAAAATAATAGAAATAGGAAATAATTGGATATGAGGATTAAAATAAATGCGAGAATTATGTTTTTCAAAAAAAATATTTCGAAGTTCGGTGAATTATTCGCTTTACTGACGATATAGTAGCTGTATAGCGTTTTTAGATAAACCTTAGAAAACGTTCAGTCTTGATGAAATATAAAATGATTTACGGAATTTCTGTTCAAAATAAGTTTGTTTTATTCAGCAAGATTTTTAGTGAATATTTATGTTAAGATTTTGTCGCTTGTTGGTGAAACGCTTACTGATATATTTTGATAACTTATATTATGTACTTTATACGCTTTTTTTTATTTTAGGTTCTTCAATCAGATCCTCTTTCTTCGTATGTACAGTCTTCCGCTGATACTCAAGTTATTCATCATCAGCAACCATCAATTACTTATTTATCCCAACCGTCTAGCCAGCAGTATCTTTGTAGTCCATCATCCCAAGCGGTTCAAACAGTTATTGTGGCACAACAACCACAAACAACATCAATTCAGCCTACATTTATCAATCAAATGCCTATTCAAACAACGAGGCAACAACCATTATTGTGTGTGCAAAGTCCTTTACAACAAACAGCAAGTGTTATTTTACAGCAGCCACAACAAATCCAGCAGCCACAAATAATTCAAACCTCTATGTCTGTACCACAAATTATACAAGCCATACAACCGCAGCAACTAGTGCAAGCGATACAACCGCAGCAACTAGTGCAAGCGATACAACCGCAGCAACTGGTGCAAGCGATACAACCACAGCAACTAGTGCAAGCGGTACAACCGCAACAACTGATCCAAGCGATACAACCACAACAACTGATCCAAGCGATACAACCGCAACAACTGATCCAAGCGATACAACCGCAACAACTGATCCAAGCGATACAACCGCAACAACTGATGCAAGCTGCAACAGTACTCCCAGCAAATTTATTGCAATCATTACAAGGTTTGTTTCTCACACGTATTGATATTGGTTAGATGTAAGCGACAATTGTATCAGCCATTTTACTAGTAAGGTGCGCGTAATGCAAAAGTTGAGCAAACTTTTTTTTTGAACTTATTATCCATCATTCGATAGAGCTCATTGAGCTGATTAAGAAAATATATTTTTTAAAGTTTCAAAAAATTGTTTTCATGTCCAAAAATCGAAAAAATTCGACACAGCGTGAAAACTCGAAAATCGCTCAAATTCGTTTTTCGCGAATTTTCGCGCTGCGTATACACTCTAAAAAAAATCATAGATTAATAGACTACAATAAAAGAGCTTTCTGGACTGCTTAGTTGAAGGGCTATCCAACACGGACCTCCCAAACTAGTACTCTCAAATGGCGGCACCGAATTTTGTAAACCTACCTAGTTCTTCTTACCGCAAAAACATCGAAAAAGTATTTTTATAGGGTTAGGAAATAGTTAATTGCTGCTCAGGAGCGATTTTTATGATCAAAATTAAATAAAAGAATTTTTGCTACGGCAACAAATACCGGGTCGAGAAGATATTATGTATCTTCGAAAGGGCTGTTGATGCACTATCGAAAAATAAATATCTGATCTTCTCAGTAGTTGTCGTTAGTACAGAAAAAAATTCACAAAACATTCTGGGAGTCAATGGGAACTGGTTGAACTTGATTCCATCGAAGTGTTTGATCTCTAGAGTTTAGAATTTCATTACTGTAAAATATAGTCAACATCAGTTTTGTAGAGAATTGAATTGTGCATCTTTTGAAAACAGATTGAAGTTTTCTCAAGCTTTTTATACAGAAATAAAGTACCTCCGCCACTACTTTTGGATTGCCTTAAGTAGTATATAAGTTTCAAACTATTTTTTCCTTATTCCGCGTCAAACACTGTCAGCTTTAAAAGTACGACTTGCTTCTTTTAAAATTTTGTTTCGTTGCTGAAAAAATTGACTTTTTCTAAATAAGAGGCGAAAAAGTCGGAATCCGGTCCGTAATTCTCCATCATAACTCGACTTCTGAGCAATAAAAATATCATATTCGGAATCAGGATCAAACACTGAGTCGACTGATGTGTATTTCTATCCTATCCGACTACTTTCATTTTTTTTTCGAATTTTCACGTTGAAAAAAACCGGGATTTTCATCAAAAACTGAAAATCAACTAAAACTTTTGAAATACACATTTTCAATTCAGTGGGAACTGATTGAACTTGATTCCATCGAAGTGTTTGATCTCTAGAATTTAGAATTTCATTACTGTAAAATATAGTCAACATCAATTTTGTAGAGAATTGAATTGCGCATCTTTTGAAAACAGATTGAAGATTTCTCAAGCTTTTTATACAGAAATAAAGTGCCTCCGCCACTAGTTTGGATTGGCCTAAGTACTATGCAGCGCGAAAATTCTCGAAAAACGAATTTGAGCGATTTTCGAGTTTTTTCGATTTTTAGATATGAAAACAATTTTTTGAAACTTTAAAAAATATATTTTCTTAATTAGCTCAACTAGCTCTATCGAACGATGTAGAAAAAGTTTAAAAAAAAATTTGGCTCAACTTTTGAATTATGCGCACCTTACTATGATTTTGTTTTAAAATTGTATGTGCTGGTATAGCTTGTTAAAACGAACAAATTTCAAGCATGCTCTTATTTCTACGCAAGAGGTGGTGGTGAAGATTTAGGCTTACTAACTTAACCTACTGGTAAGTTATAAACTATGAATAACTACTTGTTAATAATGCTAGCTATAAGAATAAAAGCTTAATTTTAATTGTTCACTTTTAGCAAGTCCTCAACTTCTTTATCAACGTCCATACGATCCTGTAATTATTCCTATGCAAAATCAACAGATTGCAATTAGTCCATTGGTTCCGCTTAGCCAACCGTCCTACGCGCCAGCACGCCTAGTTGCCCTTCCTCAGTCTTCATTATTAGCACAACAACAACAACGACCAAATATGTTTCAACAAGCTCTTGTGCGCGTATGTGTTAGAAATCTCGAGAATGTAATAATTAATATACACTTAATTCTTTCACTATTTCTAGACTGTAGCCGACCAGACAGGCCCTATATTTGGACAACAAAATCCTACAGGCGGTCTAGGTCTTCTTTCACGTCCAGTTGTAGCAGCACCATTGATGGCCACAAGTACCGGCATCAAGTAAGTTATCAAGCTAATGCATGGAAATATTAGAATTTTTGGCAAGCGCTTTACGATACCGTTTATTACTGTGTATACAGACGAGTTGTAAACAGGTACCTTTTCATAAAAATAAATTATTTTTCTGAAAATGATAATTATAACTACGTAAACATGCTTCTTCAACGTCCAGTCCAATCAAACAACTGAAACAAAACGCTTATGCAATTTAATGACAGATGATGATGCTTTATACTCTTTAAAAACTTGAACAACGGCCAGCTTGCTTCAATAACAAATGTTTCTCAACGCTATAGATATACAAACTGAAATATATCCATTATAGTGCCATTCGTATGCCAATGGTAATGGGAGTTAATTCAAATCAGATACAAAGACCAGTACCAATGATGGGTATGACACAGCAGCAGAACTTTCCCATTGTGCCTATAAATGGCTTACTGATACCGTTCCAGCCATCAAATGTACAACAACCGCGCTTTCCAGGAATTGCTCCAAATCTTTATTCGCCAATTTCTCGAAATCCCTATTCGCCACTTGCTCGAAATCTCTATTCGCCAAATAATTACCCGCAACCCTATCGATCCTCTCTGGTAGATTTTGCAGGTTTAAGACAGAATCGTCAAAACCCTTTACTTCCCACAATTGCTTCAAGATATGATTACAATCGAGCACCTTCTCCACCCATTCTTTCAACAAATGCTATTAGACGACCAAACGACTTACTAGGCGGAACTTCGTCACCACCCATATCACCGTTGATAACAGGATCCCAACCGAACCAACCAAGTGTGATTAATTATTCTCAGCCTCAATTTGCAAGCTCTAGAGGTGGCTCGATCATGTCAAGACAAGCTGATTATGATCGACTTTCTAATAATTAAACCATTTATCTATAATCAAAACTATATTGAAGAACTAATGATAAATAACTGTTTTGAACATAAGCTGTTGCCATTGACAGAGATGTGCATGTTTCTGTGTGGACTACTCAGATAGAAAAAAGCGTCTCTACTACGATATAGCAATTATTAAATCCATTACAACACTCCGATATTCTGCAATAAAAATCACATTGCGATATATGTCCATAGCTCTTTTTTTGCAATACTATCCGATATAAGATATTATTTAGATAAAATAAGATATCTAGAATATTTTGGTTACTAATTTTACTCTTAATATTCAGATCTCTGAATACTATAAGCTAATTTCTTTTATTTTTCGCTTTTTATTCTTTGGTGAGCAACAAGATCATCCTAGATGGAGTCAGTACTACTGCCACTTCCTCCAAATCTATATAAAACAATCGAGCTTACGAGGGAACGTTTTAAGTGCCTCCTCACTTTTTCAATGAAACCTAGTGGGTTATAGGTTATCGATGATGCTGATTCCGAATATGAATATGAGAGCTGCTCTTAGGGCTTTGAAGACCCGGTTTTCTGGAAAACCATTTTTTCAGAAACTCTGAAAAACAACCAAAGCTTTTCTTAATGAGCCATGCTTGTAGTCAGCATATTTCTGATTAAAATACGACCTCTCCCGACTCTATATGACCTTTCTTTGCAAAGTTATAGAATTTACAAGAAAAGCCCTAAATATTCATTGTCAACTCAATGCTACAGAAATAAGAAACTAATTTAGGGCTTTTCTTGTATTCTATAACTTTGCAAAGGTCATGTAGAGTTGGAAGAGGTCTCATTTTAATCGGAAATGTGCGGGCTACAAGCATGGCTCATTAAGAAAAGCTTTGGTTGTTTTCCAGAAAACCAGGTCTTCGAAGCCCTAAGAGCAGCTCTCATTTTTATATTTGGGATCAGCATCATCGATAACCTATAACCCCCTAGGTTTCGTTGAAAAAGCGAAGGGGCGCTTAAAAACGTTCCCTCGTTAGAAGAATATCTTTTTGAAAGTTTGCAAAAGTGAGAGGATGGGAGGAATAAAATTCGTTTCTTTGATTAGTTCTTTCTTACATTTTTAAACTTTGTATTCGTATCTCTCAAGAACCAATGAGGCCTATATATGACAGAACAAGTCGAGATCTAACATGCTCCTGATAAATGACCTCTAGTAGTAGTAAGTAGTAAATTAGTTTTTACGAAAGAAAGTTTGGTGGTAACTTCTTTCAAAATACTACTAGTCTTTTTTCACGACATATAATGAATCTGCGTGAATCATTCGAATGGTCTGTTAGAATAAAATGTCGTGACAGATAATGAGTCTTTGATATATTCTGATATGATTTGCATTAATTTCCTTTTTAAACAAGTTTAATCAATGAACTAAGTGTCGCACACATCCATAAGAATATTTAGAAAAATACTTCTTAGCGATGAACAACTCAACTTTATCTTCCTCATTACAAAACGTCAAATCTAAACATGAAAATATCAATGGTCATATCTATTGTTACATGCGCTCAGAAAATGTAGTCGAAAAAACTTTGTTTTATACAAAACAACAATCAAAAACGTTTGATATATTTCCGACATCCGGCTCTTAATGACAACCACCAATGCTTGTTTTATTACTATTGGTGGGATTTGTTTTTTTTATGACTTTTCATTTGTCTTATATTCGCTGAATTGTACGCTCGTTACTTATTATGCTAGGAAGGGTTTTTCTATTTCGGACAAATATCCGAGAGCAGCAGAGACAAAACAAAGTAGGAAAGTTAACGGAAGAGTTTTCTTGGAGCATAAGAACATTCGGAGTATTACCTGGACATAAAAAGAACATCCTTGAAATGATAGTGTCGACCAGTTTATCTCGTTGTAACACAATATATAGATTTTATTGGAATATAACAACACGGATATTCCAGTAATATCGAAAAAATGACGAACTGTTTCCTTTCGAGTTGAATCTGTAATGTAAACATATTTTATTTGGTTTATTTAGGGCAAACAGTCCTTTGAATCAACCACAATGTTTAATAATGTAAAATCCAACTACGTTGTTCAAGAATGAACTGTAATTTTGGTATATTTGTATATATATATATAAATATGTTGTTACAATAGTATTCCATAATTCAAACAACGTGTACATTCGAAAATCGTTATTCACAAAGCTTTCTAACCATTTTGAACTCAAATTAATTGATTGAAAAAACTTTTTATATCGAAAAAAGACAGATTTCGTTTCTTCCTCTACAAAGATTAGTTCTTGTTTCGTCGAAAATTCATTCTCATAACGCTCTTGCCGGGTTTGAAATTCTTTAAGTATATAGTTTACTTTTCGGTCAAACGAGAATTCATCCTCTACAAAGTATCATTAAATAGACATTGCTCCCATACGAATATCATTCTTGTACTTAATAAATCTTTACAACGTTTTAATATTCTCAAAAATCAATGCTCAACTGTAAACAGACTGCGCAATTACCACTGTTTCAAACAACAGTGTCGTCGCACTCTGATTGTTGTTTGTACTATCCCACTAATTGAACGTCCCAGATAACTGATAAAATTCTGCTATATTTGAATTTATCATGAAAAAGTGCTCTAAGAGAAACGTATTAGAGCGTGTTTTTATGTGTATCAGATAGAAAAGCACAATGATAGTTAACATGCATCATACTGCTTCAAGTTCAGCGCTCATTTTATTTCCCTTTATGCTTCTGAGAATTCTATTGTCTTGATCTCACAGATGGCATATAAAACAGACAACAAACTCATCAGTCCAGCTGGAAGATAGAGCATTATAATTGGGAAAAACAGACAGCAAAGTGAATATGAGTTATCCAAGTGACCTGTACATACCAAAATACTTAAAACGAATAACAAGTTTCAAACAAGAATAGGTCAGCTCAAAAGACGGCATCGTATAAGGTTAACAATCGATCATTGACTTTTCCGACTAATAATGGTTTCGTATGAAGGAAAAGCCTACCAGTATATGAAATCCGATACATTCGTTCACTAAAAT